TAATTTCTGTTACGTTTTAAACGTCAAACACACTCTAATTGTGATTTAAACGTTGCTTAAACAATCATTTCATGAAAATTAAACGCATATAATTATCGAAATATTGAATAAACTTATGTATAGATTTGAAAAAAAGAAAAGAGAAGAAATATGTATAATAATGATTAAATAAAAATCCTATTCGATATCTTTATTACAAAAACATTAATATACGACGAAACGCTTAAGAATATCCTGAATGTTTGATCATGCAAACAATTTTTCCAATACGTGCGTCGTAATAGAGGATCTCGTGCAACATATCTTGCAAAATCACGCGACTTCTGTATCGATTACACGAAACGCGACAGCACAGAAACATTTGTCTTTCTTTATTTTTTTTTTTCTTTTATAAAAATTGTTATGAATCGTGAATACTATTCTTTTCCCGATTTCATTCACCTCTTTAATGAATAATTTTCCATTCAAATGCTTATATAAAAATCTATTTTAATACCAACAATCAAAACGGGTCACAAACTCGGCATAAATTATTCAATTTTAAATACTTTAATATCCTGTATAATAAATATATTCTAATTTAAATTACGTATCATTTGCATCCATTCCTTGTTCCTTTTCGAAAATTCTGACCTATTGAAGATTATTTTTGCCAATTTTTGATGGAACAGCGACAAAGAAATATAGCAAATATCAAGTTCATTCTGATAATCGTTCATTCATAATTCGTTATAATTCTTGAATATGAGAAAGTTTCCGTAAGACCGCGAGGCTGGAATTGAGATAAGTAGTATAAACCGCGTGCAAGACAACTCTAACGCGAAATAATACGTATAAATGATCAGCCATTGGAGAGAAAGAAATTATTTCTCTCCTTCGCCTGATTTATTAGATTTTTACGATACTTAAAATTATGGGTCTCGAGTAGAAGTTAGCCAAGAAACACGAGGAAACCATTTGCAAAGCTGAAAAAAAGAGCTTCATAAAAGGCTATTACTATTTCTATGAAACTTCATAAATATCGTAATAACAAAATATTTTATCCGTGTGCGTAATTACTTTTTATTTAATTTTAATTACTTTTGAAATGTGTGTGTGTATGCATTATTTATAAAAATATTATAGACGAAAGTGTCACGCAAGAAGCTTTTCACGAAGCCAAAGTATTGTCGTTCTAGCTCTCTGGCCTCCAACGTGACGATTACAAAATTAAAAAAAGCCAGGAAACTTTCCCGACTCCGCCGACTTGGTTAAACCTTCGTGGTTTGTTTTACGTGTGACGCCGACGCACTTCATTATGATTCTACGATCTTGCGCTTCGTCTTTCCTTTTCACGGTGAAAAAAAAAGGGGGAGAGGGGGAAATTCCTCATTTGGCCGCAAATCGACACAAAACAGCCTCATTACAAAATGAATTACTCGGTTTCACGACGCATTTACGAGAACGATATAAACGTTTTATATTCGAGGTAATAAAAAGGGGTCTTAAGGTAAGTCTTTAATATAACAAATTTAACTTGAATCGTGATAAAATAATTCGAAATAAATCAAAATCCTTGGATCTTATTCGAAATTTTACGTTTTATTGAATTTTATCGTGTTTCAAATTCTTATAAATGTCGATAATCACGATTTAAGATAAGAAGAGTAATTAGTTCGACATAGAACGTAGAATGAATAATAGCGAAATTATTGGCAGGAAAGGTGGAGAGATGAAGGAATAAAAGGAAAAAGAAAGTGTAATAATTAAAGAAGGAAAAAAGTAGACGACGAAATGCCTAACGAGAAAACTTCGATGATAAAAAAGTAATAGGTCTGGGAATGGGTTTTGCTTTCAGAACTACGGATATCGGAATCCCTGTAGACAGTCCAAATTTGATGCTTCTCTTTTATGTCGCGCAATTGTTTCTGCGCGAGCTCTGCAAAAGTAAGAACCTCATCCGCATCGTGCCGATGGACATGACGGAGTATTACGGTAATTTTGACAATCCTCCTATAAATATCTTATCTTAAGAATCAAACATTTTAATTAACGAAAAATTTTGCCGCTTTATAAATTCATTTACAATAATCCTGGCTACGTTAAATAACATCCGTATTTAAGTTAAAAATATCATCGAAAGAACATACGTTAGAGTATATATGTCAATTTTCTGAAGGAATCAATAGTATTCATATTAACGATCAGCATAAATCTTTTTCTCTCTGGTTTCAGAAACTCGATCCGGCCCGTCCAACATCGGCAATGTGATCTCACAAATAGTTCTCTGTAAGCAAATCACACCAGATTTCTACGAGGAAGAATTGTGCAGTATCCAGAAAGATTCGGAAGAAATACGTGGTTTGATCAACGAACTGCAAGAGTTTATGCCTCAATCAAGTGGCGATATAGGTACTGTCATTTTTTTCTCTTCTATCCCTTCCACCATATCTTTCCATTTCCTATCGTCTACCTCTTAGAATTTTATTTCTCAACGAATCTCAACTCGATGTCCTCTATATTTTGACCCAATTTTCACAAAATGATCGAATTTACATCGTTAGTGTAAAAGTTCTTGCCTCGAGTAGGATTTCTCAATTGGAGAAATTAAATTTTCGTATAAACGGTAGAAAATTAAGCCACTTTCGAATCGTACTCGATTTTCCTCGAAACATAAATTTTCCACAACGGTTAATCCGATTCGGTTTCTACTTGAACTCTTGATTATTCTATTTGCCACTCCGATATACGTATATCTCCCCTTGCTTCGTTGACCTTTCTTTCTCTGGCCATCTTTCTTCCTATTCTACTACTCTCTCCCGACCTATCTATTCAACCGTCTCTAATCGGGTTACTCCAGAGGCCAAGGTCTGGATTTCAAAGGAGAACAATTCTCCCTTTCTCTCTATTCGTCTCTTTCATCGCGTCTTACCTCGTCGCGCTCGCCAGCTTCCATTGATTCTATATAAGGAACAAACGTATTACCTTCCAACAGGATAGAGCTCGCTACTAGAGTTATCAGGCGATGGTTCACTTCTCAGCTCAGTTAGTACACGGCGACCTTAATTATCTATCGATATAATAAGCGAATTCGGATGCCATGTCCCCGTAGTCCATCGAGGAAGAGGAGGAGGGAGGAAGATAGCACGAAAATCACCACATGTACCACGATCCTCGATCCCCTAAACGTCAATTCGAAACTTCGCTTGCTTATCAGGGGAATAACGATACAGTTAGAGAGAGACGAGAGGAAGAGAGAGAGAGAGACAGAGAGAGAGAGATGAGATATTTGACATTGAACGAGAAAGAGGTCAAGGTCGATTCGAAACACGGATTTCCTTCGCCGTGTGTTACGAACGGGAAATTCACGCTCGAGAAAGATCGCACCACTGTCTCCAAGGGAAAATAAGAGAAACGAGTGGAATCGTTGTATTCGTAGGTAGAATTTCGAGAAAGGACAGGTCGAGTAGCGGTGTGCACATGGCGTGTCGAGAGAATTCGTCGGGGAAACGATGCAAAACGACGAGAGAGGAACGAGCTGGAAGGAAGCGAAGCGCGAATAAAAAGAGACGCACGGTTTATTCCGAAAGTAAATATATTTACTTATTTGTAATACTTATACAACGAGGAAGATGTTGTCGAAATAAAAACGATAATATTTTTAATAATCTTCGAAAAACGTTCGATTATTTTGGGAATCTGATCAATATGATATATCGAAATATATAAACAAGTGCATTAACGCGAAAATATATGAAAGATACGCGAGTATTTAACATTAAACAGAGCTCGGGTCAAGGATAGATGGAAACCGTTCCTGCGTTCTCCACGAGAGGAAACGAGAATCCGCTGGGCGCGGAAAAAGGGTGGGAAAATCAAAGATAAAGAGGGAAATATGTCGGATCACGAGCCGATAAAGCAATTCGAACCACGATTTGCGAAAGAATCTCGATTGTGCAAACCTTGCCATGAATTAATCGTTCTTTATTCAATTTTTCTTCCCAAATCTTCTGTTTGTCGCGATAAAATTAATATGTACACGTAACGTCAACTGTGAAATGCAATTCTTGAGGTCAAGGACGAGTGGAATTCATTTTCATATTCATATTGCAAACTATAGGTATTTGACAAAAATATGATGTATAGTATAATAAAAATAAAATAAAAAATATTGATGTGGTAATATAAAATATTTCATTACAAAATTATGTAATGAAAAATTATGACGATAATTCGTTGATAAATTAATTTTATCAATACTTAACAATTTATCAATAATTTACAAAACTTATCAAATTTATTTGATAAGTTACAACTGGAAAAACCAAATTAAACTTTTTTAAATTCGCGGAATATTCTTTGTTGCCAATAATCGATAATATCATTCGTGATTTTATTGTAATGATGCAAAGGATCAAACGTGATCTCAAATCTCAATGAACAGATATCGCAATTTATTGCGAGCATAGCAACCGAGGAATTAAATCGCTTTTTCATTGAAACATCATGTGAACTTGTGCAATTTTTCCGTATTATTGTATACTATGTAAAGTAAAACTTATTAAATTAATAATAATATTAATAATATATGTTTTACGTAAGAAGCTCACATTACATTTCGCTATAATTCGTTTGACAAATCTTTTTTTTATATTTTTATTTCATATAATTATGAAATAAATTTTTAGGATATGAAAGTATAACATTTCTTATATATTTTTCCCATTAAAAATAATATATTTTGAAATAAGATAGTGAAAAAAAATTCTTTTGAAAATTACGAATAGAAAAACATTTTAGTGTCGATTCGTGCTATTCATTGAAAATCATATATTAGAAAAATGGATATATGACGATCAAATAAGTAATGAAAAGTTTTAATAGAGTCATAAAAAAAAGATTTTGTTAGATTATGTAAAGAAATTATCCATTATTACTATTTAGTACTATTTGTTTTAATTTGTTAGAAAAAGTTTATGGAGAATTTCTTAAATTAGAAGCGTATATTGACTCGAGCTTCCACTGAATAATATCACTCTTTTTACTTCTTCTTTCATTAAATAATTCCTTGGTTGAAATACCATTGACTTGGCTGTATATTTGGTTTATAAAGTTTACCTAACTAAGAACATTTTTTTTGAATTTCATTTGCAGAAAAGTACACGGCTTTACAAAATGCGGGAAGTTGGAGTAATCGTACCAACGGTAGACGGATACACCGATGGAACCAAACTCATAATAGACCTACTAGAACTACCAGACAATCGTCCTACTTTTGCGGAGCTTTGAATCTTTTTTGTTGCGCAACAAGAACAAATTACGTTTAATTATTAAACATATTTGCCCGCCAAATTTTTTTACAAAAAATTTTGTTGCAAAAGATTTTTATTAATTTCCTCCTGTGTTAGATTTTCTGTTTTAAATTTTAAGAATAATAATTTTAAATTTTCATAAATAAAGAGAAATTCTCGCTATGTTTTGCAATCATGAAACGAAACATTCTTATAATTAGTCGATTAGATGATAAGAAACCTAATACTGAGATTTGATTTAGTTAATAATACAAACCATTTAATAATAAGTACAAACTTCGTAATATAGAAAAATATTCAAACATATTTTTATAAAGGAATTTCATTTATTGCGGAATTGTTTAAATAATAAATTAAAATTAAATAAGAAATCTAACTTAAACTTACGATGCAATTTGTCTCGTATCGGTAATCGATGATCGTAAAACGACTCGATAAAAAGATCGATTTCTTGATGAATTTTATTACATTCTCTCTTGTTCTTCGATCAGCACCAATTACCATGAAATGATATTTAATATCTAAAAAAAGGAAAAGTCAATGTAAAAACAATCATTATAGATGTGGTGTATCATTTGTATTCGTATGATTATTATTTAAAATCCGAACTGTGATGAACGAGCTCAAATTTATCGCTGATCGATATAAAAATCGGAATAAAAATCGATATAAAAATCACATCGGATAATAGGGAAATAAATGCCAATTGAATTGGATGTTGATTATTTCAATAGTGGACCAACGTACCAATTGTATGCAATGAAAGTGATGTAATTAAAATCATTTCTATTATTTTAAAATTTTAATCATATTAAACTTTTAAAAAATTCTATTGTCAAAAATCTTGTATTTTTCATTATCATTATAAGATTGTTATTTATAAATTAATATGACAAAATATTTCATTTATTTATCATCTTTTATTAGCAAATTGGCGATGCGATTCTATATGCGATTTATTTTAATGTTAAATATATTATTATATGTATAAATATTAAAAACACACACATATATGTATATGTAAAATCTTTATGTATATGGTTTATATTGTTAATGAAATATTTTATTATTTGTTTAAATATTGCGCAAAAAAAAATATTTATATAAAATACTATAATCGCTCTATTGAAAATAATTAAATATTTAAATATATAAATAGAATATTGAATTAGAACATACATATGTAAAAAAAAAACTAAAATTCATGATGCTATAAAAAATTATATGCAAAATTGAATATTAATATTCATATTATTAATGTAATTATTCATAAGAACATTATATTATTTAATGAATCTTTGAATTTTTATGGCGGTGCAAAGAAACTAAATTTTTCGTCTAATTTCTTTACCGATAAATAGTTTCATTGTACATTATATCATATGTGGAAAATAAATAAGTAAATCATTAGAAATTAAAGATTGTTTAATCTTGACAGAAAGAAAAATCTTCCAATTAATATTTATAAATACATATATATATGAGAAAAATAAAACAAATATTTAATATAACTTATTACTTACTCATTTAAAATATAAGATAAAAATATTGAGATCAATAAATTTTAATTATGTAAGCACTTTTCGTCTATATATATATATATTTATCGAATTTTCATTTAAATTAGTTTACACTTATTTCTCAAAGTATAATAATATACTATTGCCCTCTTGCAAAAAAATATATGGCGCGCATTTATAAAATGGTGATCAAAACTTGAAGCATGCATAAAAATAAATCTGAAATTATAATTAAAAGTTAGGATTAATAATTCATTTGTTAATAATTTGTAAATATAATAATAAATTGTAAGTACAATTTCACATTAATTATTATAAATAAAATCTTAAAACTTACAAATTGCTCCCTCTAGAGATGTCGCTATTAAAATGAGAAATATATATACTTAAACATCTGTGAAATAGTCATGTTATATAATGGTGGACTTGTAGTATTTCATTTCGGATTTTAGTACGTGCTGTTGGAAATATATGACAATGTCTTTCAGTAAAATAATTGTAAGTAATATAATTTAATTATGAATCTTAAAATTTAAGAAAAATATAAATGAATTGAATTATCGATAATAAAATAAATGTATAATTCAATTATTGAATGAAAACATTGAATTTAAAAAATATTATACATATCAAATTAATAAAAAAAACTTATATTATATTATTATTTATTAGGTGCGATCACTTTCCAGTAGTATTGCTGCTCAACAATTGGTTAAGGTATTTTTTTAAAAAATTATAAAATTATGTAACTACAAAAGAAATATATGTATGTAAATATATATGTAAAAAATAGATATTTAATAAATTATAATTATTTTCAGAGATTTTTTAAAATATTATCTGTTAATTTCGTTTTCAATAATGAAAACTGCTATTTTATTGGTTTTTTTCTAGCCTCCGATTCAAGTATTTGGAGTAGGAGGACGATATGCTACAGCACTTTATTCAGCAGGTTCAAAACAAAAAACATTAAATAATATTGAAAAAGATCTTATTAAATTTCAAGTATGTATAATAAATAATGTAATAAATGATATATTTAATTTTAATTAAAATTATTAATAAAAATTTTTATTTGTTAGGATCTTATGAAGCAAGATAAAAAATTAAATGAATTTGTAAAAAATCCAGCAATAAAAAGAAAAGAGAAAGTAGAAGGACTTAAATCAATTGGAGGAAAAATTAGTCTGAAAAGTGAAACAATAAATTTATTAGCTTTATTAGCAGAAAATGGTCGACTTTCACAAATTAATAATGTAATTAATACATTTAAATTATTAATGGCTGCTACTAGAGGTGAAGTTCCTTGTGAAGTAATAACTGCAAAACCTCTTGATGCTGAAATGACATCTAAGCTTCAAACAGCTTTGAAAGGATTTTTAAGTAAAGGTCAATCTATTATGCTTAGTGCAAAAGTTGATCCTTCCATTATGGGAGGTATGATTATATCAATAGGTGATAAATATATAGATATGAGTGTTGCTAGTAAAATAAAAAAATATTCTGATATTATTGCTGAAACATTGTGATTACTTTTTATAACATTCAGTAAAATGAGCAAAGTTAAAGTACTCATATAGAGTAATTTATGAATAATGTGTATCATTAAACAATAAATTATTCCATATCTTTATTCCTATTAGAAAAGTTTGTTTTTTCTTATATTAAACCATAAATAAAAATAATTTTTATATTTTTTATAAATAAAAATGAAATTTTTTTAATAAAATTACATAATAATAAAATAATCATTATTTTTTGTTAATAAAACTTTGAATATCATTTGGAAAATATTTTTATTTTAAATGTTAAGTACTTACAATGTTTATATATGCATTTGCAAATGAGTTTAAAAGATAACTCTTAAATATTGTTAAATTTTATAAAATAATATATAACATATCTGCAACAATTTCTATTAGCATTATATTTGAATATAATCAATACATACATTGTCAAATAACAGAATTAGTGATTTTATTGCCTTTCATAAAAATTTTAAATGGAATGTTGTAAATGATATTAATTATTGCACATAAAGATATATTCACATATTATTTTTCAATGTGTAATAATATATGTAAACGCGCATATACACAAAACAATAATAATAAATTATTTAAAAAATTGATTTTATAATTTTTTTGTTACAAATTTTTTTATAATATTTTTAAAAAATTTTCATAAAATAAATAACAATACCCAATAAAATATGCATATATCACCCAAATTTACTATTTAATATTCATTGAATATTTTCTAATTTTTTGCTTAAAATTAAAACAAAATAAATTGCTCTAAAATAAGACTAGAAAATATATTATCTATTTAAAGTTTTAATTTTGTATATAAAAATGCATATATATGATTATTTTTATTCTAATTATAAAACAATTCAGTTAGATGTGCAAAAGTAAATCGAAAGTACATCTGCATAAAACATAAAAAATTATGCATAAAAATTGAAGTAATATCTATAATAAATTAGTTTCTTTTCAATTGAATTCTACATTGCAACTGGAGGTACATCACTTTTAACTAAAACCCAATCTTCTTCCTCAAGTGTAGTTGATATTATAAACTCATTTGGTACAACTAAAAATAAATGTTTTTCAAGAATAATTTTATTATTCTTGCTATAGACTTAAATTTCTAATTCATATTTATCCATACCTGTTGAATGTAATATTTTTCTTCCATCAACATAATTACTTTGTTGTAAGGGTTCATTTAATTTATCTTGTAAAAGCTTTTTTCTACATTCACCTAAATCTTCTAACTTTTTTAATTCAGTACGATAACTGACATCTTCATCTCCAGATTCAGTTTCTGTATGATCACTATGTTCATTATATTCATTTTGCACATTTTTTTCTTCTGTGAAAGAATTGGAATGTATTTTACAATCTATATATGTAATTGTATCAATTGATTGAGATATATTAGAATTAGTAGTAGTAATTTGACTGCTGCTCATATACTTTGATAAATCAAAATCCAAAACATCAGCTAAAAGTTTTTCTTTATTTTCTACATCACGTTGAATTGATTCCAGATTTCTTTCAGTTTTTAATATGAATTCGTCATCAACATTAAGTGTTAATAAAGAAGAATGTGTTGTCTTTGCATCATTAGCATTTATTTTGTCTTTGAAAGCAGACAAATCACAATCGATATCAGATAAAGATGAACAATTTCCATTTCCATTTATTAATCTATTACGTGATTTTTTAATTTTTCTTTCTGGAGTAAATACAACATCTTCAAATTCTTGTTGACTAATTTTTTGGAATATTTGCCTTCTATCATTATGTATTTTTTCATTTTGTTCGCTTTTTCTTTTAGAAACATCGTTATATTCTGTTATTCTATTACTGTCTGTTATTAATGAAGAATTTAAATTAATTGATATTGCTGGTACTTCAACAGCTTCTTCTGCATTTGTAACTGAAGTTATATCAGTACCAACAGTAACCATTGGTACAATTCTAAAAAGTAATAATTTTAAATATATAATTTAAATGTTATTTATTAATACAAAATAAATTCATTTTTATTTTCTATTTAAATACTTTACCCCACAGATTGAATGATATTAGTTGGATTAATTTTGTGAAAAGGAATTGCAGGCACTATTGTGCTTTCCATTAATTTTGAAGTTAATTCTAATATACCATTTGTAACTGGTTTACTAATTTCAGCAAATGATGATAATGAATCTAATGTATCTTTTATTTCTAAAAATAATA